AACCCCTCTCGTTTTCTTCTCCCAAACCCCTCTCGTTTTCTTCTCCCAACCCCCTCTCGTGTCCTCCCCCAAACCCCTCTCGTGTTCTGCCCCCACACCCCTGTCGTGTCCTCCCCCAAACCCCTGTCGTGTCTCCCCCACATCCCGACTGGATCCCCCTCACCCTCTGCCTCCCCCTCAGACGGAGATCATGCGGAATGAGTTCGAGCGCCTGGCGGCCCGGCAGCCCCTGGAGCTGCTCAGCATGAAGAGGTGAGTGAGCGGTGCCCGCCCCAGGTGAGCGGTGCTGGCACAGGAGCGGTGCCCCCGGGTGGGGAATGCCCCCAGGTGAGCGGTGCCCGTTGCAGGTACGAGCTGCCAGCCCCGTCCTCGGGGCAGAAGAACGACATCACGGCGTGGCAGGAGTGTGTGAACAACTCCATGGCCCAGCTGGAGCACCAGGCCGTGCGCATCGAGAACCTGGAGCTCATGTCCCAGCACGGCTGCAACGCCTGGAAGGTGTACAACGAGTAAGGCCCTCAGCTGAACCCAGTTCTGAGCTGAACTGCTGTGTGTTTGTTGTGTTTTCCTGTGTGAGTCCAGCAGGGTCTTTGGAGTATGATCTGGAATAGTTTTGGAACGTAATCTCCCTGTGAGAGCTCCGCCAGGGGAAATTTAAGTTGGATATCAGGAGAAAATTCTTTACAGAGAGAGTAATCAGGCATTGGAATGGGCTGCCCAGAGAGGTGGTGGATTCACCATCCCTGGAGATTTTTAAATGCAGATTGGACGTGGCACTGAGTGCCATGATCTAGTAAATGGACTGGATTTGGACCAAGGGTTGGACTCGATGATCTCGGAGGTCTTTTCCAAGCCAATCGATTCTATGATTCTATGAGTGCAAGAGGAGGCTGATCTGAGGGAGAAGCAGCCCTCTCTGTGGCCAAGGAACAGCCCATGTTCTGATACATCCCAGTCTTGAATTTTGTGACTATTGGTGACAATGGACTTTAAACTGAGGAGAACTAAAGGGACTAAAGACAGAGAAAGAATAATTCAGTAGTGGAAATAAAAATGAACTTACTCAGCCTGGAGCATAATAAAGCTGCTGTAAAAGCCAAAAAAAGGTTGTAGGGGGTATTGCTGCAGGAAACACCGGTGCTGTTTTGGGCAGAGAATGTTAATGTTTGTTTTTGAGAAGGGTTGGCTGAACCTTAGATAAAGGAGTAGGCAAAAGGAATGCAAAACCCAGCTCTGAGAGAAGGCAAAGGGTTGCTTAGCTCAGGAGAAGGGGAGCAGGTAGAGGATCTGTTATCCAGAACAGTGTGTTTGGGTTGCACTGACTTGTTGTATCCTTAACTCTGGAGGGTTAAATGTCAGGTTAAATGACATTTTAACTCAGCAACTGTGTGTTTTTCTAATGCTTTGCTTGCATTCTGCCATCAGACACCTGGTTCATATGATAGAACAAGCCCAGAAAGAGCTTCAGAAGTTGAGGTGAGTCATTCATGTTTCCATGCTGAAATTGGATTCATACTGAAATTCTTCTCCCAAGCTTTACAAAGGCTGGTGTTTGTGCTGCTGCCATGACCATAGGAAAAAAGACTCAGTAGTATCAATAATTAAGAAATGTGACCCTGCCCTCCCCAGGCAGTTACATTCATAATACCTGTTCTACTCAAAATTCTGTGTTTCATTTGGTTTGGTTGGCTTTATCTTATTATGTCTGAACTTCTGCTCTGGATTGTGGAATTCTCTCTGAAATGTAGTAATGATTTCTTTTCACTACTGATTGATTTCTGTTTAGTGTGCAGCTGTCTCTGCAAAGACATGTTCCCTCATGTTGGGCTTGGCCTTTTGTTTTTATTTATCTCAGAGTTCTCTGTGAACCCTGTACTGGGATTTATCCATCTGTGTGTTGTCATTACAGTCCTGGCTGCAGGAGTGTTTTCTGGTAGTACTTCTAAGGATTAAGTGTATTTTGGAAATTAGCAACAGATAGTACAGATTTTAAAGAAATGAGGAAAAAACTACATTGATCTTTCTCTCCCCAGGAAAAACATCCAAGATCTGAACTGGCAAAGAAAGAACATGCAGCTCACAGCTGGGGCCAAGCTACGGGAAATGGAATCCACGTGAGTATCGAGAATTCTTCTGTTAAACCTGTTCCTCTTGGGGTGTCTCTGCTTTCTCAGTTGTCTTTGATTTTTAAACCAGAGGACTGTTGAATAGCACTTAAAGGCTTTTTTTTATTTCCTTTCCCTTCCAAGGTGGGTGTCTCTTGTCAGTAAAAATTACGAGATCGAACGAACTATTGTGCAGCTGGAAAATGAAATCTCACAGATCAAACAGCAGCACGGGGAAGCAAACAAGGAGAATATCCAGCAAGACTTCCAGTGACTTAATCCTGACTGTCTCACTGCAGCATGTGTGAAAAAAACCACAGAACAGAAACTTTGGAGATGCTGTGTTTTTGGCAGTTGTGTGAGGTTACACAAGTTTCTGTTCTCATTGTTTCTTTTCCTTGTTTTAAATTCTAGGAGGAGGTAGAGTGGACTCAAAGTGTCCCGTTTAAATGACTTATAGGCACAGTGAAATGTACTGTGAATTGTTTTGGTGTTTATATACCCAGAGTAGGGGCTCTTCAAACAGCCAGTCCATGTCTCTGCGTTTTCCCCGTGCCTTTAATAAATCTTGGTTTGCTATTTGCGTGGTTTGTGCTCCACATTCCAAGGGGGCCTGAGAGCTGTGGAGGAGGGGGCTGTGCCAGGGGAACCCTCACATTGCCCTGGGTGGGGGGTGGGTGTGAACTGGAATTTGGGGCCAGTGGGAATGAGCCAACCCAGGGGCCCTATCCTGGTGCTCTGTTCCCTATCCAAGTCCCTCATCCCCCATCCTGGTCCTCTGTTCCCCATCTCAGTGCTCTGTTCCCCATCCTGGCGCTCTGTTCCCTATCCCAGTGCTCTGTTCCTCATCCCAGTCCATTATCCCCCATCCCAGTGCTCTGTTCCCTATGCCAGTCCATTATCCCCTATGCTGGTCCATCATTCCCCATCCTGGTCCATCATTCCCTATCTTGATGCTCTGTTCCCTATCCCGGTCCATTATCCCCCATTCCTGTCCATCATTCCCTATCCTGATGCTCTGTTCCCCATCCCGGTCCATTATCCCCTATCCCG